TGGGGGCAAGAGATGAAGCAGGTGATTGCTAGATTTCTGCCTATGCTGTGATGCTGCATACCTGGGCATGTGGTGTTTCTGTGTTTATCTTTGATTCTAGAAAAACATTGGTATAGGTGAGTGTGCAAGGTACATGCATGTGTGTGTGTTTTGATATAAACACATGGCTTTGTGTGGTCACTCCATGACACAACCACGAACCTTGTACTGTAGGCTTCCTATACAGGCATAAGGCAGTTGTTGATTGCCAACATTTATCTGAGGCTGCACTAGTGGTCGCAAAAGTCACTGACTTTGGATGGATTCTCAGGGGCTACCAAGCAGCCTTGAGCTATTGAGAGCCTGGGATGTTACCTGCCAGTCTAGTTAAGCAAGTCGAAGCAGAGGTGCTGCAGGAGCTCACTGGACGGACCTGGCTTAGGCTCCAAGTTTCGCTTCGTGCGAAAGCTGGCAAAACGCAGGCTGGTGCTGAGCACAGCGGGCCGCAAGCTGCCTGGGAAGGACCGGCCGCAGCCGCGTTGCGTCTAACTCGGAGGGGAAAGTGGAACTGGGCGGGGAGGGAGGACAGGATTTCCTCGCCTCCTGGGCGCGGCCGCACCCGGCAGGGCCACACAAGGCTCCCTTTGTGGAGGGCCCCTACTCCTGCGCACAACGAAGTCAGCTAGGAACAATAGCGCAATGTTGCCGCCGCCGGCCGGGCTCTCCCGGCCACACCGCGGCGGCCGAAGGCGAGGAAACCGGGTGGCGCTTTTTTATAGCCACGAATATAAAATCGGGGCTTTCCCCCCTTTTACTCGCCTCTTGCCCCAACGCCGATAGAAAGCAGATAAATTTATGAAGGGCGAGCTAAGAGAATAATTACAGGGTGAAGGCCGTTAAATTTTATTTCCAGTCCCAAAGGCAAAACCTGTGATTTTATTGCAAACATCTGGAAGGACCGAGAGGTGGGCACGCTGCTGGTTTAAAACAAAAATAGAAGATTTAATTTCTTGAAAACAAAAAAAATATCATGAAAGGTTTTTTACTCCCACGGACTTTTATTTTTGAAAAGTGTGATGGGATAGTTGAATAGACAACGAGCACGAGGGTCCGCAGCCCTGGACACCTGAGCCAAGCCGCACACCTCGGGACGGTTTGCTGGGGCGGCCACGAGGTCTCTGCGGAACCGACTTCAGGCAGGCGTTTCCAGAAATCTGCTCCCTCCCACCACCCTCGTATCCTCTGCGGTCCCACTGCCTGCTCTTTTGTAGCTCTGGGACGCCAGTTTGGGAAAACAAGTGAAGAGTAGGAACAAGGGCTTCACATTCCCGAAAGATTCGGGCACAGCACCTTGGTTCTGTCCAGTTCTCAACCAAAGAATCTTGCTTGCTTTGCTTAATTGTGAATCATTTAGGACACCTTCGCTCCAAGACCGGAAACTGACAGTGGCCTGTTAATCGACTTGCCTAAGGTCACACGATTTAGGTTTGAAGCAGGCCTGGTCCTAGGCTCCACCTCCCTATGAGTCTTCCCACCCCATAGTCGCCTCATAACGTTTTATTCCTACCTTGATGGCCAAATTCATTACAATTTCCTTGCCCCCAGAGTGCCCTGTTCATGTGTTTAGGGGCAGCCTAACATGTCCTGCTGGTCAACTATTTTTAACTTTGTTTTCAATTACTTACTCAAAACTCTAAAATCAAAGCCGGCTGGTGGATCACCTTAGTATTGTGGTATTAGCAGTGATGGAATTTAAGGTGATAATTGGTGATAAATGGAAGAGAAAGATAGGTGTATGGAGGATGTCCGGGCTCTTTCTGGAAATTCCTGTTTGTGCTTATGACTCTTGTGATGCTGCAGGAACCACTCTTCCTTTGAAAAGTTGGAATGGCTGGACAGTTTGAGGTGAGTTGTCACTGTGCCACCCTTCCCTTCCTGGCTGTCTCCTGCCAGGGTGAGGCCTGGGTCTCCACTTCCCCACATGACCCTACAAGTGGCCAGTGGCATGGAAGGATCTCAATCTCTGACTTTTGAGGTGTCACCCTTCCTTCCTCTTTGGAGTTCTGCAGGGGTTGAGGGGGGCATTAGCTTGACAGTTGTCCATAAGCTAAAGACTTGAAGGGACTCATCACTTGTAGGCTGTGCCCTGGATACAAGTTTGGAGCGTGCAAACCAAAACCTGGGGCCTGCCTAGGTCCTTAGCTTCATATTGGGACCCCACTCTTATCTTTAAATGTTAAAAGAGGAAGAGCAGTCCTTTGAGTAATAATGGAATGTGCAGACCACACTTCCACATTTATACATTTCATCTCTAGAATCCTTCCTTTCCTACTCTGAAACACATATTCTTATATACTTAACTCACACATGTTAAAACATCTTGCTTAATTTTTCTCTATTATTCTTTCCTCTCCATCAGAACACAGCTATGTACATATAGCCCTGGGGGAGAAAAATTTAGATTAACACCTATGGAGTCACATGTGTATCTGCATGTGTGTGCGTGCATACACACACACACACACACACACACACACACACACACACACACACACACCAAAACCAAAACCAAAACAATAGGGTTGCCTCTCATTTAATAAAGCAACCCGTTTCCATGACTGTGCCAACCCATTCTACTTCAGATGGGCCTGTCACAATTCCAGAATAAGTGTACCTAGAGGTTATGAGGGGAGGTAAGGAATGGGGGGTGGGAGCAAGCTTTATGCAAACTAAATTCTGCTCTCCCTGGGCTTTGGGGGTAGGGTACAAAAGCTTGTCATTGAAGATGCTGTTCTATCTTTTTGGTATGTTTCTGGAACATTTTGTCTATGGACAATTATGTAGATTCAGGCCTCCAGATCTCCATGTTTGGATGGTGGGTTGCCAAAGATCTATCCCTTTTTGGAGGGAAACTGTTGTCTGATCTGGGAGGGTGTATGGCCTATGTCTCTGTCTAAACCAAGCCTAGGGGAGAGTAGAAGGCAAAAGGTTGTCAGAGAGAGATGGGCTGGAGATACAGGCAATAGAAGTGAAGGAAAGAGCTGGGAAAACATCTGGACAGTGATCCTTCCCTACCAGGCAGATAAGCCACCTTCTTGCAGGCAGCACCAAATTAGGAGCCCAGAGCAAGCCTAGAATTGCAGGGAAAGAGAATTACCTGCCTTTCTCCAATTTTTTGTCCAATGAAAGCCAGGTCACTTTTAGTCTGAAGCTCTGCAGTCATATCGGTTAGTGACTGAGATGGAAGGCCCTGAACCTCCACCTAGGTTCCCAGAATCTGCTGGAGTTCATGAGTGGCTTAGGCTTGGCTTCTAGATCTGTTATAGTTACTCCCTGGGAACCTCAGAATTTAAAACTGCAGGCCAAGTCCAGGCCCAAGTCGTGTCTCAGTAAATCACACCCATCCAATGCCTTCCATCTTTATTTTCAAATCTGCTATGCTGCAAGCCTCCTGAAGTCTCAGCTGGGGTCGTGTTGAGGGAGATCCCACAGTGGGCCAAAGCACACTCACAAATACTCCCTCTGAGCTCTAGCACCAGAGCTTTAGATTATAATGCAAACACTGGCCTCTGGCAGTCAAGGGGGAATATGGCCTTTCAGAGGCCCCACAGGCTGTCAAGTTTTACTTCAAGGTGGAAGAACTGGAGAGAGAGAGAGAGAGAGAGAGAGAGAGAGAGAGAGAGAGAGAGAGAGAGAGAGATTTACTACACCATGGACACCCTGGGTATAAACTTAGATTCAGACCCTGCTCCTGGCCTGGGCTGGCTGCCCATGAGACCTATTTGCCTGAACTCTCTCTCTCCCGCTCAGGATCTGGCTCTTTCCAGCTTCTTGCTCAGGGATGGATCCCTTTTAACCGGGTCGATTGGAAGCGAAGACGAGTCTGTGTGCAGTCCACGCCAGAGAAACCCGAGACGCTGGTTCCAATTTGGCAGGACCCAACTTCTCGGCCCTTCTGAGCTCTATCCGAGCAAGGTTGTGCTCTGGGCCTCCTGCTACCAGCGACCACAAGCCTCATAACTCAGGAGGGAGCATGCAGTGAGCATGATCAGAAATGTTGGATTTTATATTCCAGATGAACACAGTCTCCTGAAAGATTTAAAAAAGAGGGAAAGGGAAGGTCATCAGCTGGGCGAGTAGAGAAAACTATGCTCTGGAGGTGGTATGATTTAAAAGGAATTTTGCAAAAACTCCTCAGCTGTGAAAGTTTTTAGTTACCTGTGCTTGGCACCCCCTCCGTGGGTTCTCTGAAATAGTAGCCTGGAATAGGCGAAGCGCAGCCCATCGACTCCGCCGCAGGCCAAGTGCGCATTTGCTGCTAGCGGGTCCTGCCCCGAGGTGCCTGCAGAGCGCCTTAGGACTCTGCTGCCAGCCTATAGCGGGCGGGCGAGGCTCCCGTGTCTCCTCCTGCACCAGGTACAGCCGGAGGAAGGAAGCAATCTGCATTTTCAGTTGCAAGACCCCGCATAGTAATAGAGCTTTTTTGTTTCGTTTTGCTTTCATCAGAGTTCTTTACAAAATATTCAACCGGAGCGCAGGAACCTGTGCGTTGAAATCTGAGCAGAACCGTCAAGTCTAAAAACCACCTAGGACAGGCACAAGGTTATCAGAATCGGTTCTGGATTTGGGGGGGGGATTAACATTTTATCAGCGCCCAAAAAATTCCAGACCTGCAATTAAACATGACTATGGCCTCGCAGTATTTATGATACCCACCGTATTTGGGTGGAAAACATATGGATTTAGGATTTGTTGACGTTTGTAACAAAGCAGATTAGATCTTGGCCGGGAGATCTTTCTTACCCCTCCAGTAACCTTTGGGGGACCGGGAAACTAGGGGTTAAAGTCGGCACCGGGGCTTCCCGGGGACTCCGGCAGTAGCCCTGGCCGAGCCTCAGTCTCTCCCTTCTCCTCATTGGCCCGCGTTCTCAGGGTTTCTCCTGTTCCCTTTTTGCCATTGGTTGGGGGCTGGCTTTTTCCCCCCTCAGTCTTTTTCTTCCTCCCCCCTCCCTCTCCCTCACCCCACGGACAGGAGCGCACAGCCTGCCCCCGGTTCCTTGGGAAGGGAGGAATTCAGGGGAAAAAAACGTTTCCCAGAAGTTTGGATCAGAGCAAGAACGGGAAAGACTGAGAGGGCAAGAAGGAGAGGGAGGATAGGAAAGGAGAGGGAGGAGGGAGGGCGCGAAAGGGAGAGAGAGAGAGAGAGAGAGAGAGAGAGAGAGAGAGAGAGAGAGAGAGAGAGAGAATGAAGCACGGTCGGCGCAGCCTGTGAGCGCCGTCCCGGGTGGGTGGGAAGCAGGACTCCGGCGCCCATGCAGCGGGCGGGCGGTGCTCCGGGCGCTAGTTCCTAGAGGCTGGGGCGGCTGGGGGCGCCGGCGGCTCTCGCCGCGCAGGGCGGGGAGGACGCAAGGGGAGGGTGCAGAGCGCCCGCGGAGCCGCCGCCTCTCCCTGGCCGGGCCCGGCGGGCTCTGGGAGCGTGAGGGCGCAGGCTGCTCCCTCGGTAGCGGGGGCAAGCGGGGGCCAGGGTGCGGGCGGCTAAAATGAGTGAAAGGAGAAGATCTGCAGTCGCCCTGAGCTCCCGAGCACATGCCTTCTCCGTTGAAGCCTTGATCGGCTCAAATAAAAAGCGAAAACTGCGAGACTGGGAGGAGAAGGGGCTGGACCTGTCCATGGAGGCGCTGAGCCCTGCAGGCCCACTCGGAGACGCTGAGGACGCGGCGGCGCACGGCCTGGAGCCCCACCCGGGTGAGTGCCTCGGCCCAGGCTGCGGGAGGCGGACGGAGCCGGGAGCCAAAGGGCGTCCGCGGGCGAGGAGCAAGGCCCAGCCGCGGATTCTCTTCCTTACTCCGATGCGGGTTTCTTTTTCTTGGCACAACTGCCTAGAGATTCCCTAAATTCGCCGGAACCAATTTGGGGATCTGCCTAGAGCCTCGCACTTTCTTCGCCAACCTCAGGGGAGGAGGCCTACTCGCTCGCACCTCCTTTTCTCCCCGGAGCAGAGCGCAGCGTTGGTGTGCCGGTAGCTGAAGGGCTGCAGGCCCCGGGCTCGCGTCCGAGAGCAACCGCGAGAAAGCTGGCACTTGCGTCTGAGAGCTAGCGTTCTCGGAACCCCTACTGAGTCTAGAGAAAAGTCCGGTTTGTCCCCTTTATCCTTCAGTCTCGGCTGTCTTCTCCCAGCTAATTCTTGGATGATGGAGTGTAATTCTATTTCTACCTGGTTGGAACAAGAACCTATGTAAGACCTGTTGCCCGTACTCTAGGTCACTGTCGTGTATTCAGGGTAGGGAAATGGGGTCGCTTATTTCTGTCCTGATCCATGTGTATTCTGTGCGTGTAATGTGCGCAGAGCACTTAGAACGTAGGGCAAATGTCGTTGTCTGTGTTTTAACAGAACCTCGGGTGGGGTAGGGTAAGGTTTGTGTTAAGCGCCAGGATTTCAACTGTGCAAAAACAGCCCAGGGGGGACAGCTGTTGTCAGAAGAACCTGGTGCGGCACGCACAGGGAGCACAGCGCTTGCTCTCGAAGCTTGGTTTAAGAGCTTTAGAAATTTTCCAGCTCTGACTTTTGAAACCACACTGGAGGTGTTCCTGCTGACCAGCCAGGGTCACGGACAAGAACGGGGCCAAGCACTGGCAAAAGCCGGAGGTGGAGGCAGCGGACGGGTGGGAGCGCCACAGCTTAGGAGCTCGGGGATCCCAGCTGGAAACTTGGCCAAAGCCGTGGAGGGACAGCTGTCGCTTACATTTTCTCTTTAGGCAGTGACAGTTCAATTTCCACGCTCCCGAGGCTAATAATAACTAATAATAACGCGATTAGCAAGTGACCTGCACAGAAGGGTTTTATGAATTCTCCGTGTTCTCGTGGCCCGTTACGGAATTTGAGTTTAGTGCTGGGGAATTATTTTTATTAGTCGATGAAAAGAAAATTAAGAGGAGATTTATTTTGCCTGTCCAGGTCTTTTTCTGTGTTTGGATGTGGGTACAGGTCCACGCGGATCCCCTCGCGAGCGACCCAGGAAAAAATGCGCGGCTGATGCGTTTCCTCCATCGGCTCACTCTGTTTCCTCACCTGTTTTACCTTTTGTTAAACGTCTCACTAGGGTCTCTCTTCAGATAATAGAAGTGCCTGTAGGCCTTATGACAGGCCTTGTGACTTAGGAGGTTCTTTTTATCTTAGTTTCTGGACAGTAGTGAAAAACAGAAATTACTTAGCTGCGCTTGGCAGGCGCTCTGTCCTGTAGAACTTTTCTTTTGGGAGGCTCCAGATTGCTGGGACCCTCTCTGGGGTCCCATGCTCAAAAAGTTAATTGAAAACACTGAGTCAGCTCATTTTTCTTTTTCTGCCGTTATTCTGGCCCGGAAGTGTGGAGAGAAAAGCAAGAGAGTATCAGGGCAGAGACGGACCTTTCCAGGGATATGAACACGGGGAAGTGGTCTCCAAAAATTCTGTTCCCTAGTTCCTGTGGGATGGAAACTAACAGAACTCACTGTATGTAACAGAAACCATTTGGTCATTTTTTTTTTTATCATTACTTTAAAAAGCCCTTTGGAATGGACAAAACAAAATATATTTGTGGGCAGTTCTGGGAGAAGAAGCAACCAAAGCACTGGAAGGCTTTCTACAGAACAGGGTTACAGGCTGTCTAGGTTGGGTCCTGACAGAGCCCTGGCAGTGGCTGAGGCTTTCTTACCATCGGGAAGTAGGACAAGAAAAGAGCTTTCGGAAAAAGGCTCCGTGGTCTGCGGACACAGAGTAGAGGAGGTGAAGCTGCAGGCTGGTGGTCCCTGGCTGGAGCAGGATTTGTGAGGAGGAGTGGGGTCCTTTTTAGGCTTTTACTTTCTCTTGGAGTATGTATCATCCTAATGAAGAGGTAGGGCCACATTCATTAAAGACGTGTGTATGGGAGGAGTACTTCAGGAGACCCATTTGGCCTAGGGCAGTGTCTCCCCCTGGGCTGGGCCTCACAATTCTGCTCAATCTGTCTTCTCTGGGTTAAGGTTGCTTTGTGGCTCACCCGCCTTAGGCCCACAACAAGGGAGGGACAAGGGAAGAAACAAAACAAAGCAAAACACACAAGGAAAATTTGTCTAGGGCAATGAACTCCACCCCCCGCCCCAGCACAGCTAGGAAAGCCTTAGCTGCCCACTTGTGTAAAGTAGGTAAAGCAGCTGTATTTATCACCCTGATAGTCACCTTTTACTGACTGGCACTGGCCACTTCCTGTCTGCTACACTCAATCTAAAAATCCAGGGATCCTCATACAACCTAAGGCTCAGATTTTAAGGTTTAACATTAATACAAAGATGCAGCCTTTTGCTTTTTCACAGCCTGCTTTTCCTTTTGCATCCGGGCAGAGCTGGCATTAGCTGGCACTTGAGCGCCCACAACTGGGGCACCAACCTGCAGCAGCGGGGGACCAGCCCGGCCTGCGCGTTGTGGGCACTCACCCATCAGAGGTCACAGTATGTATTTCAAAAATTTCCACTGAGTCTGGAGGCCCCGAAAAAAAAAAACACAAGGCCTGCCGAGATTTGGAGAGGACTCGCGTGGTACTGTCACTGTCCTGTCTCGTCCACAAGCGCTCTCTTTTGGAGAAACCGCTAGGAATCGGCCACCACAGGCTGGAGAGAGTCTCCAGGCCGCTTTCCAAGGAACCTGGGTGACTAGCCTGCTCGCCCCTGCCTCTCCTTAAGCGGCAACAAACAGGAAACTTTCTAGCCGGGATAGGCCGGAACAGCTGCCACGGCTGAGGCCTCGGAAGTGTATTTTGAGCGCGCGGCGGCGCCATTTGCGCTGGGACCCCAGTTCCTCCGGCCCCTCCAGCTCTGGCTTGGGCATTTCCCGCCCGAATCCTGAGCAGAGTGCAGCCGAGACCCGGTCTCCTGCAGAGCGAAATAATTCAAACCTTCTGCGGAGGGTTTTCCCCTTCAGAGCCTGAAGGACTGGGCCTTGTTGCCACGGTGCTCTGGAGGCGTGGGGCTGTGGCAGCGCACGCGGGTGGGCGCGCTCAGACCAGCGCTCGACGACGTGCGGCCGGAGGCCCGGCTCACACCGCACCCGCATTCTGGGCCGCACCCTGCCGCCCCCACCCTAAGCGAAAGGGCCGGGGACGAGCCCAAGGCGGAGCGGCGGATGCGCCGGTGCACTTTCTTCTTCTCAATTACGAAGATCAACTGGTCACACGAATTAATACTTTAGTTTATTGCTTGTTTGCTCTTAGAAAAACTGAAGTTTTAATCCTGACTTTACCTCTTTATACATCCACTTCCAATGGCGAAGTGGGATGAAACGGAGGAACTGACTTGTTACTGACGCTAAAGTAACAAAGAGTTGGAAGCCGAGAGAGAGAGAGAGAGAGAGAGAGAGAGAGAGAGAGAGAGAGAGCGCGAGCTAGGGCCAGTGAAAGCCTCATTGCCCGCCAGCCTGCTCCAGCAGCAGGGACGAAGAGGGAAGTACTAAGTCCCGGGCTCGCGCGGGTAGAGGCCTGGGCGGGGAAGACTACTTGCTGCGGCGCCCCAGCTCCAGGGCGGCCGAGCGTGCGACCCGCTGGACGGCAGCAAGGTTTCCTCCTCAAGGGTCAGAAGCTGTCTTGTTTGACAGAGAATAGGGCGGAGGTTAGGACGGACTTCGTCACCGGGTGAGAACGGGCGAGGATTCCAAGCCTTTTTAAGTGGCTGCGGCCGATGCCCCGAGGGCGCTCGCGTAGGAGCGCACCACGGAGGCTCCCCCGAAGGTCACGGGGACTCCCTGTGGAGACTCGGGCCCCTGAGCGTTGGCACAACGGCAGTCAGAAGGAAAAGGGGAGTAATTCTTAGGGCTGCATCTCCGACAAAGGGCACAAGAGGACAGGGAAGACTTAGATGCTCAGGGTTTGGGCGCTTGTCCGGAGGGACAGCCGTGATTTCTTAGAATGTACCCCTTCTTCCCCGCTCCCATCCAGTTCCTGTGCTTCAGAAGCCCGCGGGATAGGCTTAGAGGTGGCAAACAGACGCGGGAAGTGAGCCGTCTCTTCCTCCATTGCCACCAAGTTCAGGAAGACTCCCACTCGCTTCGGTATCTGGGAGGACCCACCCCCACCCCAGATTACCAACGTAGTGGGCAGCTAAGGCTTTCCGGGGCAGCACAGCCTCATGGTGTTGCAGTACTGAATTCGGGTCTTTCACACCCCTCCAAACTATTTCTTGTTGGACACTATACTTGGGTTTCCAGCTGGCCACTTCACGTTGACTAATTTTATAGATGAAATTCTCAGAAAAGTTCACGAGGAGATGCTTATGCAGAGAGGAAGGAAGAATTAAATTTCTTAAAGTGGAGCCGGCACTGAAATTAGATCGACACATATCTGCTGTCGTTTTTCTTGGCACCTCCACATCCCTATGCCAATTATTTCAAATGGTGTATTTTGTGATTATGAAAAAGTTGGCTGAACACGTTTTTACTACATAAAGCATATGAGGAGCAAGTGAAGAATATCATTAAGTGCCTAAACTGTGGGTCAAAACTAAAAATACTGCATATTGGTGGTTTGTGTTTCTCATTTATCTGTATAATGTCTTTTGCCTGTGTGGACACGAATCTAATGGGAGCAAGTAACTCATCATTAATCCTTCATATTGAGCAACAAGAAGAGAAAGACAAATATGTTTTGGCTCAGGAAACTGAAACCTTGTGTTCACCCAGGGCTCTTCTACGGCATTCATTGGTGTTATTAAGGGGTACGGTATTCCAGATATATTACAAGCTT